CACCAGATTTATTGTAATGGTATAATATTTTATTTTCTATTATTTTTTTATTTAAAATTAATTGTAAAAGATCATGCGTAACATTTAAAATATTAAAAATTCAGTATACTTATTTGCGACCACTGCATTTATGCAGTTTTATTTAAACGCAACATACTTTACAACTAATATAAAAATAAAATGGAAAATATAAGAAAATATTCTGTTGAAATAGTCACGCATTTTTTAACATATAAATATTGTTTTTGTGTTATTATTCGCTTATGTTTCATGAACAATTTGAATGTAAAAATAAACTAAATTATAAAAGTATAAATTATGCTTTATATATATTATATTTATATTTGTAGTAGCCAACGCCCGTACCATGCTGAATATACCGGTTCTCGTTAGATCACCGAAGTTAAGCATCATTGGGCGCGATCAGTACTTGGGTGGGTGACCACCTGGGAACACTGCGTGCCGTTGGCAAAATTTGGGACCTGAATGGCCGAGTGTCTAGCGCTCTGGCGCTCGGTGTCACAGGTTTCGGGTTCGAATCCCGGCGGGGCCATGGATGTTTGTAGTGGTTCGGAATCCACTTTAAGCCGTAGGTCCCGGTCTTCTATGACTGTAAGAGCGTCACGGAGCAAAAGTCAGGCTTCTACCTACGGGTGCTCCATCACAACAGAAGCTGCTTCCTTCCCCTTCAATCATGAGTCCATATGGGCTCGTGGGCTTGGCCAGCCAAGTGGGATAAGAAACAACAACAACAAACAAACAACATATTTGTAGTATTTAAAATCAAATTTTAAAATATTACGTTTCCTATGTGTATAAAGCGATGTTTAGTGGGGTTTAAAATTATAAAGATTAAATGAAATAAAAACTGAACACAATTAAAAAGTCTTCCAAAATAAAATTAATGTAGCAGCATCGGATTTCCGGCTCTTTCCCAAAATCAAAATGGCCTGTAACTGTTTTGACATCGTAGAAAACATCAAAAATAAATGCGATTACTGAACTTCAGAAGATACCACATCAGGATTTTTATCGTTATTTCCATGAATGACAGGAGCTGTGGAGCAAAGGAGCCTACTTTGAAGGCAATTGAGTAAATGTGTAGCTATACTACTGTGCCCGAAAAGTAAAATCAATTTTTTTCAAAAACTCTTTATTTATTCTTCCAAATTTATTTCATCGCCTTCAAAGTAATCCCCTCCGGACACAATGCACTTAGGTCAACTTTTTTTCCAATCCTCAATGCATGTTAAAAAGTCCTCGGCAGGGATGGCCTTCAAAGCGCGCGGCGATCAACGTTGAATCTCTTCAATCGACTCAAAATGGCGTCCCCGGAGTGGTCTTTCGAGTTTAGGGAATAGCCAGAAGTAGCACGGTGTGAATACGGGGTTTGGGGAACGACGTGGGTTTCATTTTTGGCGAAAAAATCCCGAAGAATCAAAGCAGTGTGAGCTGACGTATTCAGTGTTTTCGGTGCCAACCGAGATTTGACGCTTTTGAATGGAATTGACCGATCCTCTTGAAATATCAATACCATCTAATTGTAAATCAAATGTTTGCAAGTATCAAATCTTTAATACTTTCTTAGGTTGAGGGTCGACCAGAAGGCTCTTTGTCTTCAACGCGTTCTCTGCCTTCTTTGAACTTTTTATACCACTTTTAAACACTTCTTTCTGATATAGGAATGCCCATTGAATACTTTCTGCAACATTCTATACGTTTCCGCAAATAAAATTGAATGCAAGTCCTTTGCTCAATGGATTCAGATATTTCAAAAATCGCCGGAATCAGTTTTAGCTTGCCTCACGAAGGCAAGCGTAGCTCAAGCACTAATGAATATTTTAACGCCAAATTTCCCACAGATGTCCAGGAGAGTGCCAGCAACCTAAAAAGGAAAAAAAATTGAAATTCCATAATCCCCGGGAATTTTAAATTGAAAATTGGTCTTACTTTTTGGACACAGTAGTATTGCGATAATAAAGAGTTACAACGAATTTCAGAGAATTTTTGACTGTCCATCATATTTCCTAGGATTACGGTGAAACTACAACAGATCGGCCTTTCTAGTGTCGAATATAGCATCAGGTATTACACATACATTTTTCTCTCATTCTAAAATATTTAACTGTCTCAATAATTCTATGACTAGTTTTTTCAGAGATAGCCGGGTTTAATCCAGTAAAGGATGATGAATTCTTACTACGTTTCCTCCGGACAAAGAAGTACAACGTCAACAGAGCATTTACAGCTTTTAGAGCTTACTACTCCTTCAGACATCACAATGCAGGATGCATCACAGACTTCTTGCCGAATGACTTGCTGTTTCTCTTCGACATGAACAAGATCCTGATGTCTCCCAAGAGAACTGAAAAAGGAGGGGGCATTCTCATTGTTTCTATAGGTAAGGATTCATTGTTTCTATTTTAGACTGTAGATGTAGACTAGGTTTGCACTTTGGTTTACGTAGATAAGTGTGCTTTCTGAGATGTGTTTAAATTCTTTAGTAAATATTTTGGCATTTTTTTAGTGTTAAGACTTTATAACACAATAAAAATTTTAATTTACCTTGTTTATTCATTTAAGTAAAAAGTTTTAGATTGTTTGGTAAATATTTAGCCAAATAATTTAATTGATTCTTCCTTGTATTAACGAATTTGCTTAAGATATGCAACAACAGTAACAAAATATTTTTAAAAAAACTAAAATCAAGGGTTAAATATATCCGCCGCTCTGAAAAAAGTAAAAAATATTTTACATATTCTAAAATACAAAGGACTTACTGTTCGTAAACTGCAAATATGTCATCAGCATTCGTCGTACTTACTTCGTTGTGGAACACCAGGTTGGACCTTTTGGATGTCGAATTTATAGTTTGAAATTGTTGCCAGTCTATGAATTCCAAAATTACACTCATATTTAACCATCAGGTCACTTATATTTGATTCTGACTGCCTCTAATCTCTCATTGGGCGTCTATCAATTCTTCAGGCAATAGCATTTAATCATCTATTCACCTTTGATTCTGATTTGCGCTAATCGCGAAGTTGGCATCCATCTCAATTCTTTAGGTAAGGTGGACAATGCATTTAACCATTCTTCTCCATTTCAATTTTTCATGTAATCGCTTTTAACAATTTGTTCAGCTTTTTTTGATTCTGACTTTCTCTAAATTAGAAGCATTATTTTTCCAGCATTCATCCTCAATTTTCCAGTGAGCCTTCACCTCAATTCTTCAGGCAATAGCATTTAAACATTTGGCCAACCTCTCTTTGATTTAGACTTCCTCTAATTTCCCAGTGGATTGCCACCGCAAATTTTCAGTCAAATGATGCTTCTATGACATTACAATGAGGGGACTATTGCAAATTACTTGTTTTATTAGCACAGAAAAAATTTTACTTTAACATGCATTTTTATGCTGCTTTCAAATGATGCATTTTCTTTGCAACCTAGTGGCTATCGTTCAGTGCCACAGTATTTGGGGCTCGAGTCCCAGCAGTGCCATAGATGCTTGTAGTGGTTCGGAAACCACCCTAACCCTCAGTTCTCGGTCTAATATGACTTGGGCGTAGGGCTAAAAACCCTAATTCGTAAAAAGAAAACAACTCCTGTTTCGAAATCTGCCAGTTGGCAAACGGCCTTGGCTCATCATGAGGCTGTCGGGCCATTGAAGAACAACATAAAATACTTCATAAGAACACATTACTACATTAACAAAACAAATTTAAATACTTAAAACACTTAGATTTACAACAGTAATATGTAAAAGTAAGAAGTTATTTTTGATTATTTAGATTTAAGTCATCATAAATTCTCAATGTCCTTATTATCCATTTATGTGTTTCCATTTGTACATTACATCTATAGCGCCGAAACTGGTAAGGTTTGCAAGTCAAAAACGCAACAATGTAATCGGTTAAGTCAGGATTCAAGCACAGAAATAAAATAGGTTAAAGTAAAATCGAAAGTATTTTAATTAGAATAAAAATAATTTTTATTGTTATTAATTGAAATCTCAAATAAAATCTCAATATCAAAAGAAAAATTAGATGAAAGGATTTTACAACAACTTTTATTTTTTCAAATTTATGCCTGACTATCTCCTCTCCATCAAATAATCGATTCGTCTGTTTCCACCTTTAAATTTTTTTTCCCGATTATTACTCAAAATGTATGTACGCTTCTGTGTACCTATCAAAAAGTATATATTTTTTAAAGTTACGAAGCTTCTATTGTTTTCTACCTGAGCACTCTCTGAGGCCTTATATAATTAATCAGCTGATGAACGATTAATCTATCACTGTAACAATGCTTCCTCCTACGCACTGCAATAGCGGTCCCTGTGGAGTTCAGGAGAAGTGATCAGTAGGCATCAAGACTCTCATCCAAGAGAAAGTACGGCACAAGCGGCGCTGCCTCAGAGATGTTTAGTTTACTCATCCCAAGAGGAAATATCTTTATTTTCAGCTTAGAAGTGGAATTCTTCCACGAATCTTTAATTAGGTGTCTTGAAATGTGTTATTGTATGTGTATGTGGTGTTTGTACGTGTGGGAATAAAGCTGTGTGTTCTCAAATCTGTGTCTCAACACAACCACACCCAGATCCCCAAACAACCACACAACACTACATCACGTAATATGAAAGCACTGTAAAAACTCATTTCTGAGCAGTAATTTGTCATTTGTAAAATTTAATTTAATTTTTTTTTTGTTCCATTTCGTAGGCACCCTCGATCTAGATTTGGCCAGTGTGTTCCAACTCTTCGCCGGGTGCTTCATGGCAGCAGAAATAAGTTTGGAGACGGAGTGTTCACAAGTGTGCGGCACTCAAATTATTTTCGACATGAGAGACATCACCGCAAAGAAAATCTGGACCTACGGGAATTATAAATTTTTTTCACTTCTCGCCACGTGTATTCAGGTAAAGTCTAATCTCAGTTAAAAAAAAAAAAAAAAAAAAACACCCCCTAATTTACTTAATAAAAATAACCTAACTGGCCAACGGCCATACCATGCTGAATATACCGGTTCCCGTTAGATCACCGAAGTCAAGCATCATTGGGCGCGGTCAGTACTTGGGTAATACCTGGGAACCCCGCGTGCCGTTGGCATTCACAAATTTGGGACCTGAATGGCCGAGTGCCCAGTGCTCTGGCGCTCGGTACCACAAGTTTCGGGTTCGAATCCCGGTGGTGCCATGGATGTTTGTAGTGGTTCGGAATCCATTTTAAGCCGTAGGTCCCGGTCTCCTATGACTGTGAGAGCGTCACGGACCAGAAGTCAGACTTCTACCTACGGGTGCTCCATCAGAACAGAAGCTGCATCCCTCCTCACCCAACAACAACAACAACAAATAACCTAACTTGCCTAATGTAATGTGAATAGGGATTGCAATACCGGTATACCGAATACCGGTATTTTGAGCCATTTGTACAACTTTGTAATACCGGTAGTCACAAATTTAAATACCGTTTTTTCGGTATTTACTAGAAATTTAGAATTTAACTGTGAATTCTTATCTGAAAACTAGAAATTCTTATCTGTGAAAATAAGGTTGTAGTTGTGAAGAAAGTGTGTATTATTTCGATATTTTTTTTAATTGGTGAGTTTGTTATTCACATTGTATTTGCATATCATAATTTAAAGTTCAAAATATTTTTCAGATTTCTTATATGTATATACTCATAAATAATACCCCATAATAATGAATAAGAATAACTTTAAAGAACATAAAAAATCAGTTGATATACTTCGGTGATATTCTTTTGTGATATTTGCATTCTCTAATTGAACTGGCAAATAAAACAAAACAAGTAATATAAAAAAAAAAATTTTAAAGTCAATCCCTACTTATTTTTTCACTCTATTCCAGAAAGTCCTATATAAATAATTTTCATTCATTTTTTTGTAAGTTATTATCGGTAGATACATTCAACTTAAATCTAAAAAAAACTAAAATTAATTAATTAAATTTAATGAATGAATTAATATTTGAAAAAAACTGTATTAACAACAAATGACATCCACTGAAAGTTCAAAAAAATGTGCTTGAACTTGAGTGGAGGAATAAAAAGAATTTTATGAACGATTGAAAATTTGAACAAGATATATATAGGGAGAGTGTGAACTAATAGAAGGAATTGAAAAAAAAACACGCACCCTAATTTACTTAATAAAAATAACCTAACTTGCTAATGTAATGTAACGTCTTGGCCTATATTGGACCCACAACGGTTTCAAGAAGAGGGTCACTTTCAAGTTCATGGGAACACTTTAATTTTTATTTAAAAGTACTATATATATGAATAGGCCGAAACTCTGGCCTGTTCAGACACTTCAGAGAAAAAAAGAAAAACAACACTTCTGGTCGACTAGTCGCAGAACTCTTTTTCTTCTTCAAGTAAAACCACCTTTCAAGACAATCCGTCAAGAGGGGGAGGAATGGGTTAGCTCCCCAGTTCTCGAGTTCAGAGTTCTCGAGTCTATGGCGAATCTATCTCACCAGGTCTGCGACAAACCTTAATTATCACACGGCATGATACACAAAACCATAAGGGCCTCGCTTTGTAAACAGGCGGAAACTCTGGCCTGTTCAATCAGTTTCAGAAAAAGAGAAAAGCAATACTTCTTTTCAATAATTCTTTTTTTCCCCAAACCTTCCTTTATCCGTCAAGTGGGAAGGGGGGTGTCAACTTCACTCACTTCTCATTAGCCTAGGCATTTCTCAGCTCGTGTCTATCACCAATCTCGATGGAACAACTCATGGTATAGCTCATATTCAATTTGTAGTTGTTTCTACCTGTGAAGGTCGAACAGACAATCACTAATTTCATGAGGACTCATTATACAAGATACCGAATATCTGCTATCATATTTGAGTGACAGATTGTTCTCATTAGCACAAAACATTATTTGCATATAATATAACTATCCACAATAAAGCTTGCCTGATGTAATCTGAGTGATGGGTTGTTATAATATAATTGTCAAATACCATACATTCCTCTCTCCTGGAATGAAATGCCAAAACTCCTATCGTGAGAAAAAAATACTACAGTAACGTAAACTAATAAAATATAACCTGGGCCTGTTTTTTAGCCCATTCAATGGCAGCATTCTTGTAGGCATATTTGATCTAGATATTGTTTCAGCTCTTCACCAGGAACTTTATAGCAGAAGAAATAAGTACAAATACACAAAGAAATACTCAAATACTACAATAGTACTAATACACAAAGAAAATATAGAGTTACGAGCGTCAATTTTTGTTTTTACTTCTTTGCAATGAACTTTCTAAAATAATTATAATAATAATAATAAAGCTACGATTGTTCTAAGTTACGTTAAAACTACATTGTACTACTCACTCAGATGCAAATTCATTTTCAATTTGCATGGTTCACTTTGGAAGCAGACGAAATCTCCGGAAAATTCAGTCACTTCAGAGAAAAAAAGAAAAAAAAATTCTAATCGACTCGTCGTAGAACTCTCTCGTCGTCAGCTTCCCTTCCTTCTCATTGGAGTAGACATTTTTGAACTCGTGCTTTATCACCCATCACGATGCAACAACTCATGGTTGCATCATGATGGGTGATAGACCACATTCCATAGTCCATATTCCATCAGTAATTGTTTCGAATTGCGAAGGTCGCACAAACAATCACTAATTTTATGAGGTTGCATTATCCATGACACTCAATATCTACTATCAGATTTGAGTGGCAAGTTGTTTCCATTAGTGCAAAACTCTAATTGCATGTATTATAACTATCCACAATGCTGTTTGTCTGCTGTCGAATTTGAGTGATGGGTTCTTATTATATATATACATATACTTATTATATATATAAAATAATATACATTTCTTTCTCCTGGGAATGAAAGGCCAAAACTCTTCTCATGAGAAAAAATGCTGTGTTAACAATATCGAAAGTAGCTTTATGCAAATTATTCGACTTATGGTAAATCAAGACGATCTTTTCTGGTTATCTAATACATGTAAAGTAATTTTAGAATTCATTTTTCACAAATATATGTAATTTTTTTAGTATATATTGTCTATTCACAGGAATGCTTTCCTAGTCGAATAGGTGGAATTCACTCTGTCAATGAACCGGTCCTCATCAGTTATGCATATAAAACAGTGACACCTTTTTTGACAACAAAAATGAAATCGAGGGTAAGTAGAATTCAGCCTATGACTTAACTATTGAATAACACTCAATTCAAACTGAGAATTTATCAACTTTTATCTAGTTAATCGGGCCTGATGGCCAAGTGACTAGCGCTCTGGCATTCGGTGCCAAAGGTATCGGGTTCGATTCTCGGTGGTGCCGCGGATGTTTGTAGTGGTTCGGAATCCGCTTTAAACGGTAGATCCCTGTGTAATATGACTATTAAGTGTAGCATATAAAATATGGGGATATATAGTTTTACATGCGGCCAGCGGAGTAAGGATGCCTTTTCAAAGTTTCACTACTGACAAAACTACTCCGTAAAAAGATAAAATCTCCTGTCTTGAAATCTGCCAGTAGGCAGACGGCCTTGGACCACCATCGGGCTGTTGCGTCAATGAAGAAGAATATTTGGAACAGTTGAAGAATTGGAAATATTTTAATAGATGAATTTAGCCAAAATAACCCACTTGAAAAAAATTTAGAGTAATGCATGTATTGATTAAAAAGAGATATATTATTTTTATTGATGGCAACTCGCTTATTTGTAAATGGATTATAATACAAAATGTGACACTGGGAATATTTTATCCTTAAAGTCTCTGTATGAATTTTTCCAAAGACTTTAACACTAATAATTTAAATATATGAACTTATGCTTTATGTCTCCTTATTGTAGTACATCCTAGAAAAGGTCTTTTTGGTATGAATAAGTTGTGTACGATAAAAAAAACACAGTTGCAAGTTGCAATTTTTAACGTAATATTAATTATCAAAGTAAACTTTTTAAAATTCTATTTTTATTTGAAATTAGCACCGAAGTCACAAGAATTTAATTTTTAGAAAAGTAAAGCTGACACCCCTACCCCTTAAAAAGAAAACATCTCCTGTCTCGAAAGCTGCCAGTAAGTAGACGGCTTTGACCCACCATGGGGCTGTTGCGCCAATGAAGAATAAAGATAATCCACGAATTATTAGGCTATTCTAAATCATAAAACGAGTACTTATTTTAAAGGCTGGTTTATTTGCTTTATATTTTTATAACTAATTTATTAGATTTTTGTTTAACTTGTAGCAGTAAAAATATGCCACTTTTGGCGAACATTTATAAATTGTTTATTAGCAAATGTGATAAAATTATATTGTTTTGGATACTGAGCTCTTTATTATGTAGTCATTCACCTCTAGAAAGATGTAACAGATTCAGCGTTATCAAGGGTACGCCATTACTTTGCTCCAATCCCATTAGTCCATATAATTTTGAACGAATACCCCTCCAGGGGTCCTGAAGTGTTCGCATATTATGAAAGTGAAATTCACATAGTAATATTTTGATTAGCTAAGTCAGGGGTGGCTAACCCAAATAATCTTGCGGGCCACTTTGGAAATGCATCCTAACTCCGTTGGCCACATATAAAATTATATATCCCCTTATTAAATTTAGACTCCCTGTAGACATTTTTTGGAGTGGACAATTGAAACATAAGGAGTTTAAAGTGGATTTACCTACAGTTTAAAGTGGATTCCGAACCACTAACAAACACCCATGGCACCGCCGGGACCCGAACCCTATGGTAACGAGCGCCAGAGAGCCAGCCACTCGACCATCAGGCCCCCTCTGGAAAACAGTGTAACTCTGAATTTATTGCATAATAACAAGTTTTAATAATGATTTATTTTTTATTATAATTAATTTTAAAATTTACTTTCTTTGATCTAGATAAAATTTCACAGTTATAATTTAAAAAGTCTGCATCAGTATTTCCCACCAGAAGCCCTTCCCGAACAGTTGGGAGGCCATTTACCAGAGTCTGTGTACACAGATTTCAAAGCCGTGGTAATGCGAAACACTGCTTTGATTAATAAGCTGAGCTCTTACGTCTACAAATTCAAGGAATCTAAGATGTATGACCAAAACCGACAGGGAGAAAAT